GTTAAAGTTTTGTGCGAAATATGCGATAATTTGCGGAGAGGAAATATACCTGTCAACGTTCATAAATTACGAAAATATAAAAAAATAATCCGGAAATTAAGTGAAAAGCACGTTCCTTTAAATACCAAGAAAAGAATTTTAGTTAATCAATCTGGTGGATTCCTTCCTCTTCTACTGGCGCCATTATTGTCTATGGCAGGAGGATTAATTGGTAAAGTAATAGGAAAAAGAATCTAATGGCAAAGCAAATGGCTTTAGTCCCTCCCGAACTGTTAGCAGCATATCGGAAACCTGAAATAAGAATTGGTAATAATATTGAAGAATTACTCGAGAGCACCGATTTATCCGACGATAGTAAAGTTAAATTATTAAGTCAACTGATTTCGAGATATCAGAGAACGATTCATGCACCAAAAGAACCAGTTAGAGTATCCGTCGTACCGGACGAAAATCAAGAAGTGTCTTCTCCACCCGAAGAAAAACCCGATGATAATGGGGAGGATGTAATTGTTAAACAAATTACTATATCTGTCCCTCAGTTATATCGAAAATATGTACCGCATTTAATCGACAGACTGAGACAAAATCATTACGGATGGAATGAAAAAGGGGAATTGACAATCGGCGGTAAGCCAGTTGCTGGAAGTCACATGGTGGATTTAATATCTCATTTAATGAGAAATAGAAAAACTCCATTAGCTCCTTCCGGTTTTAACGAATTTTGGCAAGCCTTACGAGAAATAAATATTCCTAAAGAGTGGATTGGAAACAAAAGTTTGGCGACTCTACCCGAAATCGGCGAGCAACTAAGATATCAACCGACACCTGTTGAAAGTCCCGAAGAAATTTTTTCTTCAATTTCTCCGAGAATATTTTACCAGTGGAAAAAATCATCTACAAAAAAAAGAGGAAAAAGGGTCCTGAATGGAGAAACTTTTAAAATCGATATATTATAATCCTAAATCTTCGGCATCGTTTGGAGGAGTGAGTAAACTAGCTAAAGCTCCTAATTTACTGAAATCTGTGGTCGAAAAATGGATGTCTTCGCAACCAGTTTATTCGCTTCATAAACCTGTAAGAGTTAAGTACTCGCGAAGAAAAACTAAAGCTTTTTATCCTAACGACCTATGGCAGGCCGATTTAATCGTGTTAAAGCAATTTTCTAGATATAATAATGGAATAAAATATTTATTAACCGTAATTGATGTATTTAGTAAATATTGTTACGTTGTGCCAATAAAGGATAAAAAACCTAAGTCTATTTTGGAAGCTTTTCAAATTATTTTTAAACGAAATATTCCAAAAAATTTGCAAACTGCTAAGGGGACCGAATTTTATAATAGGCTAGTAAAAAGTTTGTTTAAAAAATATAAAATTAATCATTATTCGACTCATTCGGAAACTGAAGCTTCCGTGGTCGAGAGATTAAATAAAACTTTACGAAATAAAATATATAGGTTATTTACTTACCGTAATTCTTATCAATATATAGATAAATTAAACAATATCGTAAAAGGATATAATAATAGTTTTCACAGAAGTATCGGTATGGCTCCATCTGAAGTTAATCTTTTGCATTACGGTACAATTTTTGATAGGCTGTATGGTATAAAAAGAAAAGATAAATTTAAATTTAATATTGGTGATTTAGTTCGAATTTCGAAAATACGTAAAACATTTAGTCGTGGATATCTGCCGGGGTGGACGAAGGAAATATTTGTTGTTCACGATCGATTTATATCGCATCCTCCGACTTACGTATTGAAAGACGCAAATAACGAAATTTTGAAAGGAAGGTTTTATACCGAAGAATTGCAAAAGGTAACAAAATGATGCAGTCAGACTTTTTTGTCACGTTGATAAGTAATGCAAGTATGGACCTGTTTCCAAAAAATACTCAGTCTAATTTTATGGTGAAAATGAGTCCCCCCATTAATTTACATGGAAATTGGGCAGTTGGACTTAGTGAAGTTATTATTCCGAGAAATTGGTTTAATATATCTAACCACAATAACGATTACGTTGTTACGTTCGAAGAAATTATAAAAGAAAAAGATGAGCCGTTGCCGGATAAATCATATTTGGTTCCTTTGATTCCTATTAAAGATAAAGAAAGTAAATTGTTTGATGGAATAAACGAAAACATACTTTCGTTAACGAATTCTAATTTGGCAGAATTTATTTTTGATGAAGATAAACAAACCGTAGACGTAAATATAAAAGATGCACACGAGTTGCACATTACGGTCGAGCATGCGTCAAAATTACTTTATATGCTAAATTTACCTAACGAAGATATCGTGCTAAGGGAGAATTCAACTTATAATTTTCGATTATCGACGAAGGCCTATTCCAATCAATTTTTTACTTTAGTGGAAAAAAATAGAAAAAAAGAAGTAATTAAGAAAACTTATAGGGATGAAAAAATCTTTATTCCTATAGGATTATATTCGTCTCCTGAAAAGTTTTTAGGAATTTTTAAATATATAAAGCTAGCTTTACTACCGAATAATAAAATTATTTTAAAAGTTCCGTCGAATATCTCTGTAGAATTCGGAAATGAATTAAAAGATTTCTTAGGGTTTACAACTGCAAAATTTCCACCAGGGGAATATATAAGTCATTATCCGATCGAAATGTCGGCCGGAATATCAGAAATTTTTATTTATTCGAATATTATTTCCTCCCATCACGTTGGAGATATAACAGCACCGTTATTAAGAGTTATACCTGTTATGGGAGAAAAAGAAGATCAGATATTTAGAGTTTATTCGACACCTTTGTATTTTCCTGTAAAGAAAAATTATATAGATTCCATAGAAATTGAATTGAGATCTGCTGGAGGAAAAGAAATTGTCTTTTTTGGTGGAAAAACGTTATTAGTTTTATCTTTTAAACAGTTATAAATACTACCCAGTTTTATTTCTAATGTTAGTTCGTCTGTGAGAAGTACAAAATGAAGCTCGATCCTAAAGTTTGTATAAATTATTACTGCAATCAAGCAGGAGGAACAATATGGACTCCCGATTCATACATGAGGAAAATGATGCCGGGAGGAGGTTATTTTGCAGGACCTCAAATTCAACGAGGATACGGATTTTTCGGAGATTTATTTCGTAAATCTATTCCTATTTTGAGTAAAGTTGGAAAATATCTAGGACGAAAAGTGTTAAATTTCGCATCAGGCGTCGGATCGGACGTAATTGCGGGGAAATCGTTTAAAGAATCGGCGAAAACGCATCTAAAAGACATCTCTTCCGAAATTAAAGACGACGTAGTTAAAAAAGTACAGGGTGGATCGGGTATAAAAAGAAGAAAACGATTGAAAAAATTAATCCAGTCTCGGAATAAAAGAAGGAAAGCGCGCGATATATTCACGGACTAAGAATGGACCCGCGTTCCTGTCCTTGCACCAAAAGTGAGTTGGACCTATTTACCACCGTTTCGACGCAATTGGCTATCGACAACACATCAGAGGTCATTGTACATCCCATCGCCATCATCTCGGATAGTCGTGCTCCTATCGAATTTTACGTATCCGGTTCAGGTGAAAATTATATCGATTTGCATTCAATTTATCTTCACGTTCAAGCAAAAATTGTTAAAAAGGATGGAACAGATATTCCGGCCGATGAAAAAGCTGCTCCAGTTAATTATTTTTTAAATAGTTTGTTTTCTCAATGCAGTGTTTTTCTGAATGACAAACAAATTATTGCGCAAACTAACTACCAATATAAGGCGATTCTAGATGCTTTATTATTTTATTCAAAAGACGCGCAAAAAACTTTTTTAACATGTGCATTATTTTATAAAGATACTGCACAATATATGGATTCGATAGATGAACATAATGAAGGATTGACTAAAAGATTTAATATTAATAAACAAAGTAAGCTAATAGATTTAGTCAGAAGACTTCATATTGATTTGTCGCATCAACCTAAACTTTTAATTAATAATGTAGATTTAAGAATTAAATTGGAAAGATCGAAAGACAGTTTTGCCTTAATGGCAAATAATGATGATTATAAAATTATTATTAAAAATGCATCTCTAAAAATTAATAAAGTAGATGTTAGGTCGTCAGTTCAAATTGGGATTGAAAAAGCACTCCAATCATCTGGTATTATAAAAATCCCATTTAGAAGAACTGATATAAAGGTCTTTACTTTAAGTAGCAGTATACAGTCTACTAATATTTCAAATGCCGTTATCGGTCAGTTACCATATAGAATAACGATCGGTTTAGTTTCTAATTCGGCCTTTAATGGAAATGTGAAATATAATCCTTTCAATTTTAAAAATTATAATTTAAATTATATATGTTTATTAAAGGACAATCAAATGATTCCTCCAAAACCTTATACTCCCGATTATACAAATAACTTATACGCGAGAAATTTTATATCATTGTTCGAAGATATTGGATGTATTAATCATCATAAATTTACAAATATAACTTACAAGGAATATAAAGACGGGTATACTCTATATTGTTTCGATCTTACTCCCGATCGTTCCGCCTCAGAAGGCCATCGGAGCGTCAATCAGTTAGGAAATTTGTCTATAGAGTTTAAGTTTGCAACCGCGTTATTAGAAACTGTAAACGTTATTTGTTTACTTGAATACAATAATACCCTGGAAATTGATCATTCGAGAACAGTATTCGTAGATTATTAATGAATACTATCACGTTATGGAGACTAGCGTCGAGCGACTCGAAAATAAAAAAGACTTTCGGAGGAGTTTTTGCATCGGATGATTTACCCGTTTGCATTACTAATCGAAAATCATTTATAATTAATTTGGATGAAAAAAATAAGCCCGGAAGTCATTGGGTATCCGCATTCTTCGATGGAAAAACCTGTTTTTACTACGATAGTTACGGAATGAAACCGTCAAAATTAAAAATAATTAAATTTATAAAACGAAATTCTAAAAGTTGTTGTTGGAATAATATTATTCATCAGAGTTTATATTCGATGAATTGCGGATACTNAAAAATATGCCTAAAGCTATACAATATAAAGATGAAACCGTCGACATGACTGTACGAGCAGTAAGCATATCAATGTGGACAGGAGTAATGTTTCTTCCTAACATGGTAACATGATGAACAGGGTGCTGATACAAAAATAGTTATAAGTTAGCCGAAATATTGGTTAACAGTTATGAACTAATATTATACAGTCAGTTTAAATTAAGTACATACCAAAAACAGTAGAACAACAGAGTTGCAGGTTCAGACATTTTTACAAGATGCAGGGAGCGGTTACAAAGGAGATGTCTATCGTAAGAAAGATATAGCCCGTGAAGTTTATTTCCAAATTGAACAGATTTTTGATCTCTGTAACTTAGTTCCCTAAAAGTTATAAATTCGTTATAAAAATTTATTCTACCAAAATCGTCCCTGTATCTAGCTACAAACCCCAGTTGCCGTACTAACGTATCAAAGGGAAGATGTTCATCCTTAATTGTAAAGGCCTCAAAATCTATTATAACACCTACATTTAAAATCATATTATTATAAAAATTATAATTAAATTTGGAAGTAATGTATATATACTCACCATTTACAGGATGATCACCTCTTAAACATAAACTGTTTGAATCTAAAATTTTACAATGTTTTAAAAATTAATTAAATATAGATATATACAAAAAATATACTTACAACTCATTTTAAGTTGGGATGTTTAAGAAAACCTTTAAAAGTCAGAAACAAAGTATAAAACCTTCTGCAGTTAGTAAGGCTTATATAGATAACTTCAAGGTTACAATACTAGTTTTTTCTCACCTAGGAATTCCCAGAAGCATGTCCCTCTCCTTGACTGGCTTTTTTTATTATATTCCTATGTTTCTTTATATACTTTATAAGTTCCTGTATATAAATTACCTTATTATTTAGGTAATTCTCGTATATAAAATAAATTAAAAACGGTAGGATAAATTTACAAGATATAAGGCTTCATTTTTGGGACTGGATGATGGACTAGGCAATTCATTTAATTCAGGCACTTGATTTTCCTATATATAAATTACCTTGTTATTTAGATAACCCAGAAAATAAATTAAAAAAGAGGATAAATTTACATAATATGTGTCTTCCTCTTCTGAACTTTTCAAACTAGCCAATCTTCTTTTTTCATATTCTTCCATTTGTTCTTTCATCATATTTATATAGTTAATGTATTCTGGCGAAATTCTATAAACTTTCTTCGCATAACTCTCAATTCCTTCTTTTACATACTCATCGTATTCCTGTTGCATGCGAATGCAATAGTAATTATGAGGCTTTTTGTTTATAAGTAATTCTTTATACTTAGAATTTTCTACTCTATTAGAGGTATGCTGGAGAATGTCGTTATTCCCGTCTACGATGTCCCTTATGCTCTATATTTCATTTAAAATAATTTAAAGAGTCAAAATTTAAATTAAAAGAACATATTATTTTTAAAATACTCACAGGAGTATATATTCCAGCCTCACGCTGATGTACAAGTTCCATTATACTCTATAATTCATTTTAAATAATTTTAAGAGTTGAAATGTAAATTTAAAAAAAAAAACATATTATTTTAAATACTTACTTGAGTTTTTCTGCTTGAATCCATTATATTTTATTTTAAAAGTTTGAAAAGAATAAAAACTCTATAATTGGTGGTAAGTATTTATACATTTTACTTCAAGGTTACAATATTAACTTTTGTCTTTCCATTGGGGAGGTAAATTAGGTTATCTCCTCCTCCCCTGTTAGTTTTGGTTTCGGACACCCACGTTATAAATTGTGTCAAACATTCAAGGTTTTACAATTAGATCATCTGTCAATTATTTTATGTTAGACAATTAATTTAATATTCAAGGTTTCAAAAAACCTTCCTAATGGCAAATTTTTCTAGTTATTTTATAAATTGCGTCAAACAGCTATAGAATCTAATTTATCATTCAAGTAACAATTCCTTCTTACAAAAGTTGTTTTTCCTAAAACTAACTGGTAATTTCCCACTAAATTGGGTCAACCAGACCTTGAAATACTGACATGTATATAGAGTTGTTTTATAAATTGTGTCAAGCAGCTATAGAATCTAATTTATCATTCAAGTAACAATTCCTTCTTACAAAAGTTGTTTTTCCTGGAACTAACCGGTCCAAGCCAGATAAAATAATTTTTTCTCACTAAATTGGGCGGACCAGACCTTGAAATACTGGTATGTATAGAATTGTTTTTATAAATTGCGTCAAGCAGATATAGAATCTAATTTATCATTCAAGTAACAATTCCTTCTTACACAAGTTGTTTTTCCTGGAACTAACCGGTCCAAGCCGGATAAAATAATTAATTTTTTCTCACTAAATTGGGCGGACCAGACCTTGAAATACTGGTATGTATAGAATTGTTTTATAAATTGCGTCAAGCAGCTATAGAATCTAATTTATCATTCAAGTAACAATTCCTTCTTGCACAAGTTGTTTTTCCTGGAATTAACCGGTAATTTCCCACTAAATTGGGTGGACCAGACCTTGAAACACTGGTATATATAGAGGGACGACAGATTCACAAATACATCGTCTTCACCAAGTGTTCCTACCAGAACAACTACTACAAAGAAATTATGTCTTCCGAAATGGTAAGAATTTATTAGTATTTAAAAATATTTTTATTTAAAAATAATATAATATAATATAATATAATATTTATTTAGAATGTGAATTTGATTTTAATACCAAACAGAGTGTTCGTAAAAAGAGAGGGCCAAAACCTAAAAATACTGAAGATCAGAAATTTAAAAAACAAAAATTTGACATAGACTTATCTGTAGATAATGCCAAATCTTTGAACATTCGTCCATTTAAGATCAAAATTTCTCAAAATCAATCAATGGAATTGGTGGAATTCCAGGCTAATTGGTACATCTCGTTAACTAAAACAAAGGGAAATTATCCAGCCAATAAATTCAACATTAATGTTAAAGACGTTAAATTGTACAAGAAGGCATTGGATGCAATGATCGAACATTTAGACGAGAATGTTTAATTTTATATTGAGAAAAAAAGCTTTTAGGGGGTATGCTAAAACTTATAGAGCGTTTATTTTAGAAAATATCGATACGGCTGTCTTTTTTGAAAAAATTACATCAAAAATTTATAATATTTTAGCTAATAATAATGTTATTTGTAGAAAGAAATTTTTAATTAATTTAAAAACTAAATTTTTAAAATATAAAGAGGAAGATATTATAGAATATCAAGATGTATATTTTTCTAGCCACGTTGAGCATATTTTATCTTCGTATATGATTGAGGAAAAATTAATGAATGCATTTGATACAATTTTAAACTTTATTGAAGAGTTTATAAAATACGGATCGGGGTGGATACTGAAAGAAATTATATTTATAGATGTTAATATAGGAATATATAAAAATGAAATTGGAGGATGTGGTAATATTATACTTCCTAATCATTTAGTTAATAAACGATGCGTATTAAATATAAAATGTTCAGATAATCAATGTTTTTTATATTGTATAGTTGCACATTTATATCCCTCAACTAGTACTAATAGAAATTCTATATATTTATATAGGAAATATTTAAAATATCTAAATATAAATCGTTTAAAATTTCCAGTAAATGTGAAAAATATTCCAACATTTGAAAAAAATAATTGTTTAAATATTCATGTATATGGGTACGAAAAGAAATTAATTTATCCGATCTATATAAGTAAATTTCAATTTGAAAAAGAAATAAATTTGTTGTTATATAAATCTCATTATTTTTTAATTAGAAACTTTAATAGACTAATATCTGATAAATCATCGGCAAGGAAATTTTGTAAACTTTGTTTAAATGGTTTTGAAAGAAAAAGTACTTTAAATGATCATGTTAAATTTTGTTCTAATCATAAATATCAAAAAGTATCCACCCCCAAAGGAGATAATGCAATTGCAAAATTCCACTCACATGAGAAGTCATTATTTCACCCAATCTGCATATATGCGGACTTTGAGTCAATTTTGGAAGAGGTTTCTTCCGATGAAATAGATCCAGAAGTAAGTTTTACTAAAATTGTTGAAATTCATAAACCTATATGTTATTCTATTATAATTATTGAAAATGAGGATAAGATAATATATGCTAATTTCTATTGTGGCAATAATGCTGTTAATAAGTTTTTAACCGATATCCAAAGACAGTTGAATAATTTGTTAAGTAAAATAAGTCGTAATGTTGAAATTAATTTAAATACTGTTTCTAATAATTCTAGACACTTCTGTCATATTTGTAATCAAAAATTTGATGATGATGATATCCGTGTAATGGATCACGATCATCAAACAGGATTTTTTAGAGGGTGGGCTCATAATAAATGTAATTTAAATTACCGATTAAAAACATTTATTCCAATTATATTACACAATTTTTCAGGTTATGATTCGCATTTAATTTTTAAAAATATTCCTTCTAAATTATTTTCAAAAATTAAAATTATTCCTATTAATTCAGAAAAATTTACAACATTTTCATTAGATTATTTTAAATTTATTGACAGTTATCAGTTCTTAAATTCTTCTCTTTCTACTTTAACTGATAATTTAAAAAATGCCGATTATAGTTTTCCGATTTTTAATCGTTTTTTTCGCAATAACAAATATAGAGAATTATTAAAAAGAAAAGGAATTTTTCCATATTCCTATTTTAAAAACAAACGAATATTAGATGAAGCGCAGCTACCTCCCAAAAAATGTTTTTATAACGAATTATCAGGAGAACATATTACGGATGAGGATTACAATCACGCTCAATTAGTTTGGAAAAAATTTGACTGTAAAACTTTCAAAGATTATTTAACATTATACCAATATGTTGATACAATATTATTAGCGGATATATTCCAAAATTTTAGAAAATTAAGTTTAACATATTACAATTTAGATCCTGTATATTTTATAACTACACCCGATTTAACATGGAACTGTGGTTTAAAAATGACAAAAATTCAATTAGAATTATTTAATAATCTTGATATGTACTTATTTATTGAAAATGGAATTAGGGGGAATAAGTTTGGCGTGAAAAAGATTCGCAAAAGCAATTAAACTTAATAGACTGATGTTTTCTATATTTATTAGAAAATCATTTTTTTATTTTTTATTTTTCTTATCTTTTTGTTTTTTAACCTTAACATAAACAGGAAAAAATACTTATAAAACTCGGAATCGAACAATTAATTACAGTTAAATATAGGATTCTCACTGCACAACTTAAAATGCTTATTACACGGCTTGTGTCTAGTTTTATGTTAGAATATGCACTGAGTGTAAGCTAATATAAATCTACTGATTTAATTAGCCATTTCATTTTTCAATTTAGATTATTAAAAATGTTAAAAATATGCAACATTTTAAATATTTATGGTTTAATGCATTTAATTGTTGATTATTTGTCATTGGTAATTAAGAAATTGTTTTTGAATAACAGTAACAACAACGAAAATGGAAATATTGTTCGAAAAGCAATTTGTATTTGCATTAGTCGCAGTGTTTTTAATCTTTGTTTACCTCTCGGTTAAGAGCTGGAAATGCCAGACGAAAGCGAATGAAGGAAGACAAACACTTTTCAGATTCCTCACGTATCAATTATTATGGAATTTAATCTTTTGTCCTAGTAAAGCACTAAACTATAAAAAGTTTGTTGACGTGTGTAAGTTGATTTAAATAATTAATCAAATAATAATTATTACAATATAATTTCTGAATTGACGTTGATTTATTTTGTGTTGTTAAAGATTTTCTTCAATGTTTAAAAGGAATTTGCTTGATAAATCCAAAGGAAAAAGCGATAANGAATGAAGGAAGACAAACACATTTCAGATTCCTCACGTATCAATTATTATGGAATTTAATCTTTTGTCCTAGTAAAGCACTAAACTATAAAAAGTTTATTGACGTGTGTAAGTTGATTTAAATAATTAATCAAATAATAATTATTAGAATATAATTTCTGAATTGACGTTGATTTATTTTGTGTTGTTAAAGATTTTCTTCAATGTTTAAAAGGAATTTGCTTGATAAATCCAAAGGAAAAAGCGATAAAAGTTTCTTTCAAAGGAAGTAATTATTTTCTGTTTTCTCGTCCCGAAACAATTGAAGTAGGAAGTAGTTCTTTTATTTATTCTGCACAAATGTCTGTATTTAATTTGCTGTCGTTTATTTGCTTGCAGGAAATATTAAAAAGTTATAACACGATTAACAAAGATACCTTTTATAATAAGTTCCGTTTTTTAATCGGAACAGGACTTATTACTAGGTAATAAGAAGCAAAAAGTTATTTTTAAAACTTTTATTCAGTAATATTGTGTTGTTTTTTTAAAATTTCTCATTTTTTTAATTAAAAACAGCTCTTACAACAAATGGAAAACACGGCGGAGGATGTTAAATCCTGCATTTCATTTTCAAATTCTCGAAGATTTCCAAGAAATCTTTTATAGAAAGTCGGAAACTCTAGTGCAGAAGTTAAAAGATAAACGTGAATCCGAGGTGTTTGATATAATTCAATTAACTTCACGTTGCACTCTGGATGTAATTGCGGGTGAGATTATATTTCAGTGATTATATTTCTGTAAACAACCAGATATATTGGATTTTGTTTGACAGAGTCGGCGATGGGGATTGATATAAACGCTCAAGATGATTCCAACACCAAATATGTACACGCTGTCGAATGGTAAGTGACTATTATTACAAGTAAATTTTGTCAATATGAATTTATTAATCAGAAATTAATTATTTAGTATTGATATGTCACCGGGACCGAAAGGTATTCGAGGACACACCTTTCGAGAAACGGCACTAATGAAACGAAAATGTAATTTTTTTTCTTTCTGGGCCAGGTCGGCAAAGGCGACCTGGCCCAGAAAGAAAAAAAATTACGAATTTACATAGGGACGGATAGGGCTCAAGCCCTGGCCCCCAAGTGTGAAGGGCCCACAAGAATTGAATTATTATCATCAATTTTAATACGTTTTTATTAACAACTAGCTTACTTGTCGCGCATGCTGCGATCTCAGAAGAAAGGAAATTCAAGCAAACTCGTTATGATAAAATTCAATTTACATGTTATCATTTTTATTGAAACTTATTATTATTATTCATTTTCATCGGGAAAACATTTCAAAGTGTCGTTTCAATTCTATTTAGGCCTGTTTATTGGAATGTTTGTGGATACACGATATTTTTTTTTTCCGTCTGGTGCGTACACGAATAAATCAGGTTTTCCGACACGTGAGCCAGCCACATACAGTTGTCCATGCGAAAAGCACGGATTTTCTATATTTTGCCCATACACTTGCAGCAATTGATAGAAGTGCGATATTTCCCATTTAAATATATATATTTTTTAATCCTTTATAATTTTAATTATTTAATTGCTCCTTCCTCTCTTCCTTGGCATGTTGTGAAATTTCTGATAGTTGGATAATACCGTTTTATTGTAATTTGTCTTTTTAAATTATTTTGAGTCAATATTAACATTTGGAAAAGGGGGGGATACCTAGATCGGTAAAATACGCGAATTTCTTCCTACAACTTCGGTTGTTGTTCGGGATACAGTTAAGGTTTTAACGAAGTTCGAGCGAATACGTAATTAGCAAAATCAAAGTCGAAATAAAGTGATTAAACAAAAATTATTAAAAATATCATAAATAACAGTTCACAAATGCATATACAGTAGAGCCTCGATTATCCGACTCAATTGGAGACTGGGGTTGGTCGGATAATTGAAAAGTCGGATAACCGAAAAGTATAAAAAAATCCATTACTAATGTAGTATATTATTATATCCCATGTAATTAGTATATTAGTATATCGCTATTAACTAGTGATGTAACGAATATTCGGTTACTATTCGGTATTCAGCCTATTCGGCCTATTTTTCACTATTTGGCCGAATACCGAATACCTAAAACAGGAGTAATAAATAACAAAAACACAGTAAATTAATCATTTTGGTATTTAGATTTAATGTTATCGAGTTAGTGTTGTTTGTTTATATTTATTTATAACTTGTAACATGCACAAAATAAAAAAGAAAATAATATTAGTCACATGTATTCACAATTTATAATTACAAAGATCAGCACACGTACACGTCTATCGTTGAAGAATCCTCGCACATCTGAGGGTCTAACCCTGCCTATCCTTCTTTTTAAGCACTAGTCTTTGCTCTTCCCTTTCTCTTTCCTCTATCGCTCTAATCCATGTATGCCTGTGCATACATCATAATACGCGCTCACGATACTTTCGATTCGTCACTTTTTCGTCGTAGAGTTCCCATTTTACAATTACGTGACTCAGCCTGGTGATAACGGAGGAAAGAGACAGATAGGACGTTGGTATAAGTCACAGTTATGATTTCACAGCTTCACAATCGAGACAGCTTGATAGCCCGAACGGTCCCAGGCTTTCGATCGTGCACGCTAAATGACTTTCATTACAAGCATTCAGCTTTCCGAAGTCTATGACAACAATTGTTTGGCATTGACGGCCGCGAATTTCGTGCCAATAAGCTGCCTCGACTTGTTCGATTATGTTATCAACTCAATTTCAAATTTATTTTCACATTTTTACTTCGCGGTCCTTCTCTGTTCTTTTTCCGTTATTTACACGTGTAGGTCATTTCATTTGATATCATCATTTATCACATACTTCCATGACACTCTTGTCTGTCCGCTACAACTGCCAAGAATTAACGCGATTGGCGAAGCGTAGTGACAGCGGGCCAATAGAGATCAGGATCCTTGCCATAATGCGGTTTGCGCGCCAATTTTCGTACGTGCGTTAATCAAGCCGAATAGTTTGGCCGAATATTCGGCTATTCGGCCACGCTCTTGGCCGAATATACTATTCATTACAACACTACTATTAACCTACTTCTCGTTAAATTTTCATCGATGTTAAACCTAACAAATTTTTAACAAATAATAATCGTCGCTATTGTATCCTTAAAAATTATTTTATTGCTCACAAAACAAACAACCACTCATAATTAAAAAATTAAGCCTCGTTTAAATACTGACCTCCTTTTCATGGTCGAGACAGTGTTGCCAGCTAAACATGCGAAAGTTTAACAAAAATAATATTAAAGTGGCCAAGACATAGCCAAATATTGTAGCGCCACATCACTAGCGGACATTTGAATTTGCCGACTAGAACGCAGTCGGTTAACCGAGGTAACGGTTAATCGGGGGTCGGATAATCGATGCTCTACTGTATAGAGATATTTTTTGAAGGAGGAAATGGTCTTCACAATTTGAAATCGATCGAACACGCTGCTCAAATGCTCGTGTAAACGCGCGCCATCTATCGTAAAAAAAATGCCAGAAATCTTCGCGGGAGTATATTAAACAACTTCTCAAAGTTTCACGGCAATCGGATAAACGGTGTAGTAATGCATGAAGGACACACACACACATACATTCATTTTTATATATATAGATGAGCAGTTATCGTATATTAAAAAATAGTTAATATTAATAATATAATAATTTAGAGTATTATTTGTTTTATTGTTAATAGAGCCCCACTGGACTTCAATAAGTTCTAGGCACCGATAAAACTTAGATCTGGCTCTGGGGTTGTCCTTATCCCTTACAAGCACTTAGGAAGGAAAAACTGCGACTCTTTTAGACTCTGTTTTGGGCTCTTTATATTTTTGAATTCATTATTATTTAAGATTAGGGGTCAGAGTGTTTCTATTCCACTAGTGTATAAATAAATAGAGTAGAACTTCGAACGTAATGTGAGAATCTGGAGGGGGAGTGAAACACACAACTGGAATAATTAAAAAAAATTAATTAAATAACTTAAGAATATAATTTTTAAGGCGCAGAAATCGGATCAAAAGGTCAAATTAGAAAGGTAAAAACAAAACCCAGACACTTCCTATTTTGTCCGATTTTGTGAACGATAAAGCCGATCAAGATGACCATATAAGGAACAATTATTACTAAGGTTGCAAGACAAACTGACCTTAGTCACCTCCAGCAATTAATTGAGTTGGTTTGACAGCTCGTATCAAATTCATGAGGTAGAATGAGTAATCGTAACGGATAGAAAGAGGTAATAAATTTAAAGAAATGTTCGATTTCTGACAATTAACATAAACAAAACCCGGACACAATCGAACTTAGAACGGGTTGCATCGTACCTAGCATTAGTCAGCTCTCTCAAAGACGGGTATAAAAAAAAAGCTTAGACGCGGACATCGAGACGGATATCATCAGACCCATACCGCCCCATACCGCTATACTGATACATCAGACCCATACCGCTATACTGATAATCGCGTATGGTCGACTCCGCCGATCTGGGACATTTCGGCAACCACTTATATGAAGAGATCGGGAACCAAGAGGTATTATTTTAGACTATTATTTAGACTCTCTCTCTCGGGTCCCTCGTCTTAGTTTTAAGCTAGATTAATATTAGGTTAACATAGAAAATATTGGGACAGATAAAGATCCAGAACTTAGACGGTCTATCGACAAGAACGAAGTAATCATTGTCGCCACCTAGAATTTTTGACTATTTCCATGTTTTGTATCTATTCGTTTTTGTAGTCGCTGTGTATTATTTTATAATTTATTAAATATTATATTTTACGGTTAATTATATGTCCTCCTTGAATACGGCCGACACCTTGTCACGACCTCGCTCAGCCGATAAGTAGGGACAAGCTCGGATCTCTACCACCTCGGTTCAAGCAGTAATATATAAAAGACTGCTACAATATAGAATAAGGTTGACATATTTGTGATACACGATATAAAGCTTCTATTTCAGAAAGATTTGGTTACTGCTGCTATCGATAAAACCCATAGATTTTTCGGGATATTTTGCTCACATTCGTAGAACTTCATACTTCATTGTGGGACCGGTTCCACCCTCTATGAACATAACGATAAAGGCTTTTATTAATGCTTGAGAAAAAAAAAAATTAAAAAATTTTTTACAATTTTTATTTACATTTTAAAATATAGGCTTACATCACATTCTGCTGATTTTATTGTGCAACCTTGGTTTTGGTTTCGTCCTTTCTCTTACTTAAACCCATTGATAAAAGTCATCAAAAAGTGTAGAAGAACAGTTCATCAACTTCATTTAAAGGTAAGCCTTCGATTCACTCTATCGAATCGATAAAATTTAATTTTCTAATTATTTTTCAGGTAATCAAAGAAAGAACAGAATTAATCAAACGAAATCAACACATGGATGATTTTCAAGGAGAGGAAAACACTTTAGGAATAAAGAAGAAAAGAGCTTTTCTGGATTTGCTTCTATTTCATCATTTGTCAGAAAAAACTCTTTCTGAAAAAGATGTCAAAGAGGAAGTTGACACATTTATGATTGCTGTAAATAATAATATTCACTTCGAACGAAAAAGTTTTAAATCTTTTTATTTATTTTTACGCTTTTCTAATTTTCAAATTAGGGATTTCATTCCGTAACCGTTGGTATCGGCTGGACTTTATATCTTTTAGGATTGCATCAAGACATTCAAGAAAAGGTGTTTAAGGAATTAAAAGAAATTTTTGCCGACGGAGAAGATAGAATGATAAATACAGAAGACTTAAGAAAGATGAATTACTTGGAATGTGTAATTAAGGTATTATTGTAGTTGTTTTCTTGTAAACGTTTTTCGTAAAAGAATGGGCTTAGAACCATATATTTCACTCGTCCGGCTGATATATAATACAGGAGAAGTATGACAATTAGTCAATAATGACTTACAAGAGTTTTATTCTTTTGGACTCGGAGGATTTCCAAACGTCGAAAATTGCAAAAAAGTTGGACATTTTTCTGTTTTTGGAAGTAAGCTAGTGAGTAAAGTACGATTTTTTTTTCTTGCAGTTTAAAGGTTAAAAATGGTAAAATTTCCTAGAAATTTTCAAGAGAAACATTTCGATTACTCGAAGACGCCATACAATTTTTGAAACTATTGCTAATGTTTCTTGTTTAAAATATTTTTCGCCTGGAAAGTTAGGTAACTCGTTGCTGGATTTTTATTACTTTAGGAATCGAACAGAATTTATCCACCTGTTCCATTAATTATGAGAAGAAACGTTTCAGAAATGAAAGTTGGCAAGTATTCTAAAAATGAATGTACTCGTATACGCAATTGTATATAGCATGTATTAATTTTAAGAATTTATGAATATATAACAACATGTAGTGTATTTTGGTCTTGCAGGAGACTTTATATTACCACCAAACTCTTCGATTATGATAAATATTCACGCACTTCATCACAATCCGACCGTCTACGAGAATCCAGAAATTTTCCATCCGGATCGATTTCTTCCAGAGAATTTCCAGAAACGTCATCCGTACGCATTTTTACCTTTTTCTGCCGGTCCACGTAATTGCATCGGTGAGAAAAATTAATCCATTCTAAAAACAATTTTTGTATTTCTACTAAAATATGATTTTCGTAGGTCAAAAATTCGCCATGATGGAGATGAAGACTGTCCTGGCCAACGTCATTCGTAATTTTAGAGTTTATTCATTGGATCCTCGCGACAAGATGCTCGAAAGTTTAGATGTCACTCTGCGACCAAAATATGGAATAAGAATGTATATTAAACGGCGATGAGGATTTAAGGCATTTGCGTGTGACATTATCACTATTACTTCTGAATTAAAGTAAACTTTTCTAAAGTTTAAACGTGATTTCTTTGATTTGAGATGCACAGTCGAGATGGATCGTTGGCGTAAGTGCATCTCAAACCAGATTGTGGATGACCTAGAAGAATTTTTTTCTGGTTGGAAGTGCGGTTATTCCGAAATAGTATGTTATATCCTAATTAATTTCAAATTTTTTTCGGCCAAGATATTTTTTTTTCAAATGCAAAGAGATGACAGAAGAGTGCATGGTCTAGATTGTATGAGGATGTGTTGTTTCATTTTAATTTTTGGATGTTATACACCAGTGGTTCTCAACCTTTTTTGTTGATGTACCCCATTAGCCCATTAGTTGTTTCTCAAGTACTCCATATATTTTTGTATGTAAATTTTATAATTACTTCGTTAGATGTATACAGCCCTTATAACTGAGCGTCATAAAAAAACTCTAACTAACTAACTATAACTATAAGTGAATTACTTATTTTTCGTAAATAATAATAAATTTAATCAGGTACACACATTTATTTATTACACAGGTCTGGAAAAAAAATTTTTTGTAGACATCAGATATTTTTGCTGAATTATATACGTTAAAGATCGGAGATTCTAAAAATGACTTCCGTTACATCCCATCACGTAAAGGTTTTTTGCAAAATAAAAACAAATTTGTAATAAAAACTCTTATTTATTAAAATCAGGGCTGTGGAGTCGCGTAAAAATCTACCGACTCCAACTCCGACTTAGAATTTTCCTTACCATACGACTCCGACTCCGACCAGGGGCGGACTTGTTACCGAAAGAGACCCGGAAATTCTGATGGCATCAGGTGACCTCAGAATAAAAGATTCAATAAATAGAGTTTTAATAAAGATAGAACGTACAAATTTTTTATTCCAAAGCTATAAGACTCCTCCAAGTAATATATAAATATGTATTCTATAACTTTTACTTCTCCGGCTTTTATATATAACAGAGGGAAAGTGTAACGCTTTGTCAAAAAATGACCTCTCCAAAATTTTTCCATTTTTGGACTCGGGACACCCTGAAATTTCGAGATATGCAAAAGATTCGAGGTTTTTTTCTACATGTGTGGATGCTAGACTCTGTGTGTGGGGCATGATTTTGTTCACCCTGTTTGAAGCCTAATAATTTCTGTGATCAGAGTGGTCAGAATCGGAGTCAGATGGTCTAACACAAGAGTCAGTTATTAAGCGTCAAAGTGGTTGAACTAAATCGTGTCCCCATACACATTCTAACATCTTAGGCGAGAACATCTTAACGGGTTTTACTGTACTATTATAAAATGACAAAAAAGCTTACTTTGTAGGTAGAGACGAGTTTTATTTTATTATTATTATTTTTTAAATTTGAACGCTAATAACCAGTAAAGTAGTCATTAAGACACGTGACCACTTTTATGTCTTCACCCTGTCGACCTTTAATTGAGAACCAAAATTTAATAGTATTAATGCCCTTTTATACGCAAGCCACAGTGCCACATTTCGTTTCTTAAACTTTACCCATTCTGAGATATTGTTTAATATCTCAAAACAGAAAATAATGAAATTAAACAAATTAGACGCCAACACACACACTCACGCGAATTTTTCACCTTTTATTGACTTTTTTGAGGGGTTCGGGAGGTCTCCAACGTATAAATTTGCAAAATAAACTTGGAGGGTCAAATTTGACACGATTTCAATACTTTTCCGTTTTATATACATTACAAGTTGGGAAGTAAAAAAAAGTCTGAGTCGACGGATTTTTGGACGACTTCGACTCCAACTCCGGCTAAAACACCAAAACTCCACGACTCCGACTCCGACTCCGACTCCACAGCCCTGATTAAAATGAACTAAATATACTATATTTTCTTACAACTAATCAAAAGATTGTTTCTGATATTTATATACAATTTTAGGTCTACTCTTTTTTCTTCTGACACCTTTTCTTTTTCTCTTTGATGCTTTTCTAAACTCGTTTCCTATTTCCTTCTCTGGTTTCTCGATTGACCATCCGGTTGAGAACCACTGTTATACACAATAAAACGAACAATTACCATGTACGGATAGAAAAACAATTTCTCTTCTATTTACAAATTAATATTTACATTTGTCTAAGCTTTTTATTTCTATGTATACAGCAGTTATGGGTGGTTATATTTTGAATCTGTTTTATTAGGAGTATTTATCAAGTTTATATATTAAATCTGTTATTTTTCGATAATTCGATGACATTTATGTTTATACTATAAATTGTAATTTTCTCCAATAATTCTTTTTACAATAAATCAATGCGCTATATACTGTATATTTTCTTATTCTTCAACTACTTTACCGAATGTCCTGTAAAGTAATAACGCAATACGAATTTCTAGACAAAATAGTAAATGTTCAAACCGTATAAGTATAAATATTAACTGTTTAGAAGATAAAAAATAACTGTATTTTGGAATTAATCCTGTATTTTTCATTTTTGATTTTAAACTCCATAAAAGAATTAAAACAAATTATAATGATATTGAAAACGATCAGCGATATAACTGCATTAATTCCTAATCTATTTTTAACGTTTACTTTAATAAATAAAACTAATTTAATATACTTCAGAATCTATTCAAGTGTCACAGACTGTTATAAATTCGCGTTAAAGGCGCGTGTATTTGAACAACAATAAAAAATCAATTAGAATTCTTTAAAATCTATAAAATAAATAGCAAAAATGACTTTTAATACAGTAACATATAAATGTCATATATAATTACATATTTTAATTTGTTTTTAAATATACTTTATTATTCTTTAAATGTAGGAAGAATTCCGTATGACTTTTTCACAAATAACAATTTAATTCGTATCTTTAAATACCCAATGAGCAATTATATTTTGTGACATGTTCACAGTGGTGGGATGAAACTTTTAATCATATTTTTTATGTATTTAATTTAGTATATTGCTCTCCACTTCAAATTAGTAATGGCTTGCCTTTGTATATCATACTTTTTCTATTAGAAATAGACACGTGCCGGTTATCTATCTAACACCTTTCAGGGGAAAATGTTTGAATTGAATTCTCCTACTTCCTCTGTTTTAGATCGGAAGTTTCTGTATAGTTAATTGGGGCTTACTACCCCTTCTCTTTCCACCTCTTGTCTTGGATTTCGTATAACTTTGTTGTAGCGATTACGCAAGGACTGACAGACATAACTGTGGGAATTTATAGCTGTACAATTGTGGCATTGTTTTGCTAAGATTTTTTTTTCATCTTTTTATTGATGATTTTGTACCAAGCATTAGTTTTAATGCCATTTTAATGATTCCAGTGATGTCTATTGCTTCCCATTTCTATATACTTTCTTTACTAAAATACAGCATGTAACATGTATGATGTTATATCTTGTATCTTAGCAAACATGTTTTCTATAGCATTACCATGAGGAGAATATGGGGACCAGCCCATCACATACCATTTGCCAAAAACTACTCCCAAGATAATTTTATATTATGAGTAGATGCATTATCTTGTTAAAACTGGAAAAATTTCTATGCAATTTCTTTTGCAAATGGAATTAAATACCATCTAGCACTTGCTGATATACTACAGCAATGAATTAATTCATTTTTTCCTAATATCGTCTCAATAGGTTTTCCAGACGTCTGGCCCACCCATATTGAAGAACTTTTCACTGCTCCATATTTATTAATTCACCTCATGTCATATATTTAGCTCATGCCAAAGGCATCTATTTGTGACTCTTATTTACAGTCTGGAATTTGTTTTATTTTCTTATTTTTAGATGTTTTCATAACTGTATACGGTGGGTGATCGGTTAACGAACAGATCGGACAACGAACAAATCGAATAACGAACACTTTCGCGAAAAATTTTTATGATCGGACAACGAACACATGATCTGATAACGGACACCCCACAGAACAAACACAAGAAGAAGCGACGTAAAATATTTGAACACCGATTGGACTTTCCTTGTCTTCGGGCAACAATTCGACACTTTCCGGAGTGTGGGAGACATCGAAATCGACGCTCAAGCCGGTATATACCGATTGGATAGTATTCCTCCGAACTTTGAAACTATCCCTTGTAATTCCAGCCGTTTATTTTTCTGAGAAAACAATTCTTTTGTCTATTCGCGAGACTGTCGGGTAGGCACTCGATAAGTTTTGCGTCTGTTTTTCTTTATGAAAGGTGAGAGTATAATAGCAAAGGTAAAGAGTGGGCAGACGATGCCTAATGTTGTTGTACAGTATGGCGTGAACAATTCTACAGTAGGCCGCAGTTCATTTTTTTAAGAAAAATACTGTATAATCAAGAAGACTCAAGCAGCTAAAGGAGTAACAAATATCACATCTGAGAAATATAAAACATCGAAGAGTTCATAATGGAACCCGAAACTGATCTGACGAAAGAAGAACGCCATGAACTCTTGAATGAAGAACACCAAGAAACTCGGCGAGATATGTTTTCTTCTGAAAAAGAGGATTAATGTCGATATCTCTTATTAAAGATCTTTTAAAGAAGTGGGAAGATGGCAGAACAACGGTCTTAGAATGGCATCCAAGCCAGGTTCAGACTTGGGGATTTCTACAATTGCAATGCTATTAATTACGAAAAATCCTGAAGAAGAGAGAAAAGCAATCGACATTAGACAAATTCTTTAACCCTTTCAAATGAAAAACATGACTAATAAAAACGCAAGACTTTATACGTATGTATTTTTATATAAACATATAAATAAACGTACATATAAATAAACGTTACATATAAATAAACGTAGTAAGAAAGTATATATTTTTTATTTTGGTGGGTCCGCAGAACGAATTAATTAAATTCCCATTAAAGCCTATGGTAAATCGATAATCGGTTAACGAACAACGCGGATAGCGAACAAAGTCTTGGAACGGATTATGTTCATTAACCGATCACCCACTATACTGTTGATTCTCACACATAGGCTTATATAGCTACATGAGATGAAATTTACCTGTCATTTTTTGAAAGTAGCTTCGTCGTTTCGGAGCAGAGTGTGTTTGCAAAATCTCACGTATTTTGCTTTGTGTTAAATATGCATAATGGGTAAGTCTGATGTCACGCATCGGCAAATAAAGAAGTTGCAACTGCGATTGTCTGCGGAACTCGGCTGAATTTTACTGGTAGTAGCATTGACCATGGTTTAACGAGCTACTATGGCACGGTATGGAAAGTTTTGCTAAAGATTATCCATTTATATCTGAACGTGATCAGCGACATCAAAACATTATGACCGCTCCACATCGCTCCACAGGGTACAGCTTCTATGACATCGGAGAAGAAAGTCATTAGGTGC